CGCTAGCTGTTTCGGCCTCTGGGCGAGACTGTTTGCTCGCTAAATCAGTGAGGCGGTCACATTTTTCTTTAGCAAATGGGCCAGCTTTTTCTTGCTCACGACCGTAGCTGCTGCGTCCGCATGACTACCTGAAGAAGCTCAAATTAAAACAGTAAGTTTGAACAAATGACTAAAGTGAAATGATAGATACAGACAAATACCTTGAGCTGTTTCTTTAGGGATCGGGGCAAAAGTCTTTTTATGGCGATCACTAAAAGTTTTCTTGATAACGTTTTCGACCGATGCGCCGAAAAAGTCTTGGGTATATACGGCCCACCATTCAACAAAGGTGGCAGTATTGAATGTCTTGGGGATGTTCGGCCGAAGGTGGAAATTCTTGCACCTTTCTTAAAATTCTTGCTTGGCTTCCTTGCATTCTCTTTCTGAAGAACTAGAGAAGCATCATCGGCTCACGAGAGAACGAGAGGTAAGTAGAGGCAGTGGGCATCCTTGGAGGTAGCCAAGTTGCCGTGCAGTGAAGTGGGGATAGTAAACTTCCTAACTTGCACGTTTGGCATTACATTCGAGGAAAAGGTCGGGCATCAACACAAACAGTCCCCAGCTCTTTCGGAGGACAGCGTCTTCGACTTCATTCCTGGACGAAGATGAGAGCTTGATGGAAAAGGGTATTCTTGATGAAGGCAGATCAAAAACTCGTTATCAGAAAGGTCTTTTAGGGCGAAAAAAATTTAAAAACTTCTTCGGCCTAGTGATGAGGAGTGGGTCTAGAGCTCAATTGCAAGCCTAATGCTTCAGTGGGTCTGAAGTTGGGGACTTATGGCCTGAGGATGGCAAAATAAACTTGCAACCAGAGTTGAAGAACCCAGATTAGGCCAGTCTGGTAGGGGTTAATCATGTTGACCGTCGCCTCGGCTAGGCAGAGTGTGAGGTTGGCAAGGATAGTCGAGCTAAGAGCTAGGACATGACCATTGACTAACGCCTCAGCGACCGGCATGTTCTCGACCAAACATTTATTTGACTTTGTACAACAAATGAATTTGTTGTACCAGTAGAAAATGAAGGCTTTGTGTTCTCCCTTCTTAAGGTTTTCTTCCCATCGGCCAATGAAGTGTTGAATAAGGGTGTTTTAGTTGAAGAAGTTCTTGTGCAACTTTTGAACTTCTTCTTTCAATGGCTCTTGATTTTTCTTCCTCAGTGACTCGACCATGCGTTTGTTGAAAAGCATTTTGAGGTCGAGGTTGGAGAAGGTTGGAGGGACACCCAGAAATGGAGATGTCAATCGAGAAATTTGAAAGGGAGATCCCGAGGATGGTTGAGATGTCGAGAATAGTAGGGCCAATATGGCCGAGCAGAATGACCATAGTATTGGTGGCTGAGCACCAAAAACCTAGAACCGCCATGAGAAGTTTTTTATCCATGGCAATCTTGATGATCGAGAGCTTGATGGCATCATAAATACCAAGAACCTTCCATTCTTTATTGAAGAACTTCTCCATCCTCTCAACCTACGCTACCCAGGTCGCGGTTATGGAAGGCCAGGTTATTTGGGGTTTGGTCAATTCCCATTTCGACCAGTTATATCCTTGAAACAAAGGTGCCGGGTAGTTGTCTTGAGGAGGTTGGTAATGGACGCTGGGACATTGTCTTTAAAGAGTGGTCCCAGGATCTGGTGAGAAGCGCTCGAGTCACATTCGAATCGTAGGTTTTTGATGGCACTCCAGTCGATAGAGTCTCAGCACATGGCACATTCGTCGGAAAGTTTGGAGATGAAGGTGTTGGAAGTCATTGCTGAGAGCTTGAAGAAGTTTTGGACTTAGAGGAAATTTTCTGGTTGGAAATGAGTTTTTGCAGGTTGATCTGGGAACAAAAGGTTTGACAGTTCTGAGAGCGTAAATGGGAAAATGATGGATTTTGGGTATTTATAAGAGTTTTAGAAGGAGGTCAATCATTCGATTTTGAAAAGAAATGGTAAAATCAAGCAGTCAGTTTTCTCAATCGTCATGAGATTCGGGAAACCCGTGTGAAGAGACCGGAGAACTTGGGAATTGAGGCGACGTGGTAACGTGTGGCAGCGGTTTTGATGATGAAGGGACAATTCGATGACCTAGCAGTTCGTGGTTCAAGGTGGCATGGGTATGTGTAGCTGCAAAGTTAATGACAAAGTGATGTTTAGTGTTTGCACGCACATTTCAAATGTCATCATTAGAGGAAAAATGTACCCAGAAGATGCCACGTGGCAGGATGTTTGACAAGATTAGGACCGTGCGATTGTGTTTCATAAATGCACCTGATGGATGGAATATTGGAAACTTTTCATCATCCTTTAGAGATACCTAGGGTTCACTTCTTCAAGGTCGAAACTCGGCTAAGGAGTTCTAAGCCGAAAACCTCATAAATGAAGGGGCAATGTTTGGGCTCAAAAAAACATTATTAGGCCGAGCATAGGTTTATGTTCGGTCCAAAGCTTTTCTGAAAATACTATGGGCCGGCCAGGGGTTATGGGTTGCCCAGTCAGGGCGGTCGTGTCTTATTGTAAAAAGGATTAATTTGGATAAGAGCGAATGGGTCGAGTCCTAGTATGATAAGGAGTCTTAATGGAATAAGGATGCTGAGATTTGAGAAGTGAGGGTGGTCAGATAAGGAGTTTGTTTCAGAGTCCTAGTGGAGGTAGAATTGACCGAAGCCTGGTTAGATTAGGATAAAGAATCAAAATCCGAGTATAATTCTGCTTCGACCAAGAGGAGATTGACTGCTGTAAATAGGAGGGGGTGCGTCATTTGAAGGTTTCCAACTCAACACACAAACTGCCCTGCGCAAACTCTTGCTCTACGCGAAACCTCTTAACAACCTTGAGATTTTTTTATTTTCTTTTCCGCCAACACATCTTCAATTTGGATAAACAGCACTGTGAAGGCAACCAGCGAACATCTTCAGTTTGGATAAACAGCATTACCGCCGTAGAATCGGTTGACCGCGAAGCACCTTCAGTTTAGATAAACAGCATTGCATCAAGGCCGACCAATTATCTATCCAAGTCTCGATCGAGAAGGGTTTTCGAATCCTTATTGGCAAAGGTCATCTCACGAGGCTTATCGGCGAAGTGAGGTGTTACGAATCACTAGATTCGGAGCATTGAACGTCGAGTTATTTTACAATTGGATACTTACAAGTTGGATTTAGAGTTCGGCATTCCGACGGCTGAACCACATTTACGATTAAGACGTACATCTGCTTTGAATACTTGTGTCCATATAGTCTGGTGTCGATTCAGCGTGCTTATACTCTTACAAATATAATCACCGTGATTGAATCCAACACCGACGATTTGTGAACTTCGTAGAACTAGCAACCTTGTCTTCAGGCTCTAGAACCCGAAGGTCGAGATGTATTCCTTCCTTGGCCGCAATCGCAAGATCGAGAAGTCAGCAGCGTATCTGACGCAACATCAACATATTTTACTCATCGACCGAGCTTAGCTGATGAGTTGGCACGTCCACATACAACCGAATGACGTAGTTAGCTCATTAGTTACTTGGCTTGCGTGCCATGTAGGCTTGGCAGTTTTTAGGGTCAACAGATTCCTAGGAAAAGGATCTGGCGAGGATCCTTTTCCCTCACTCTGTATTGGTCTATGATTAGACAAAGTTTTATATTTATCTAAACTACATATTAATAGAACCTCATTGTCAACTAAAATTCTATGAAATTATCATTCTAACCTTCTAATTAAAATTGACCATAAATAAGAAATATGAGTAGTAATGTAATTTCACACAACCAAAATTTTTTTTTCAAAATCTCACCTTCATGTGATTTTAACATATATCTAATTAAAAAATAAAAAATAAAAAAATAAAGCTCTCCCACTTCTCTCCCAAGTTCTTTCTCACTCTCTTTCTCTCTCCTTCCATTTTAAAAACAGCAATGAAAAAATTTCACACACATTTTGTGTGTGCCCATATGCTAATTTTATTTTAGGTGTTATTATTGGCATTCTAAAAAGTTATTATGCACTTTTTGTTTGTGAAAATAGGAAAGAGATCATCTCCGAATCTTTCCCTTCAAAGCTAAGGGATCAAGTGATCTGGGCCCTTAAAATTTGATCAAATGGCTAAAAACAGAAAAGTTAGTAAAAACTTTTAAAAGTTATAATAATTTTTAAAATTTGGTTCAAATTCATCTTTGACGAGAATCGAACCTAAGGCTCCTCATTTACAAGTGAAGAGGAATATCACTAGACCTTAGTACTAAATGGCCCAAAGTAAGGAGTTATGCAAATCTCAAAAATCATTTTGGCTAAAAAGCCAATTTAATACCATATGTCTTTATCAACTTAATTTTTTTTTTAACTTTGTAATTATAAAATTACACGTTTTAATCAATGATAGAGGACCACGGAGAGGCTACACAAAAAATGAGTAGAAGATTTGCTCTCGGTGTCACAGCCAGGCTGAAGAGAAAATTTGGGTTTTGAGAAGGGAACAATGCCGACCAAGGCTTTGGCAGGATACGGAATAGATTGTGCCTTGCTTGTAAAGCAATGCACACAAAGAAGGTATCTAGTACTCAGGCCATGCCCCAATTTACATTGTCTTCCAGACACAAGTTTTTTTTAATCCAAATCGGCATAATATTGTTGAAGAAAAACAGAAAGTACGGAAACTTGAAGCGAATGAAAAGAAATGAAAAGTTACGAAGGATTAGCCTAGTCAAACTATAAATATGTATAAATATATCGTCACCTTTCATGCGTAAGTTATTGCTACAAGAAGCAAGTGTGTCATCGAACTTCTAAATTTGTCCTTAATTTTTATTATTATATAATTAATTTGTTATCAAACAAAGAGCAAATGGATCAAAGTCAATACACGCATCGAGATTTTATGCAAGTTTTCGAAATATTTAAGGATATAATGGTATAATTTCGAACACTAGTCCGACTTTATATAGAAAATAATACAGAGAAATCTTGCTTACGATAATTAAATTTAGAACCCACGTCAATCAGTCGGACACTCGAACCTACACACAGGGCACGTATGACCGGATTTGAACCATTGAACAACACATTTTGCATGAAACATATGAGAGCATGGCAAGGGCGTAACTTCTTCCCCACTCAAAATCTTCTCCAAGCAAACCACACATAATTCAGCATTCGTAACATGATTTACTCCATCGGTTATTTTAAACGCGTCCAAGGCCTCAACGAACACCTTGCTCGCCGGCTTAGGCCTAGACTGTGACGATTGATATTCACCTGATGCAGCCTCCATCACGATACTTATCTCTAGCAGTAATGCATTAACATCCTCTACTCCATAATTTCCTCTGTGACTAGTACTGGCACTGTTAATATCATTGATCAACCCTGCAGCGGCTGCGCGTGACTTAATTTCATTCCAATACGCCATAGCGGATCTCATCGAAGCTTGGCTGTGCACCTCGTCACGTGGCTGTTGTAGCAAACCTGAACGCGAAAGCACAGAAAGGAAATCCTTTAATTTGTGTTCGAGGTCTCTTCTTATGTTAATCGTATCATATTGTTGATTTGACGTACTAATCTGCTTCTCAATCTTGATCCTCACGACCAGCTTCTTGCGTCCTGCAACAAGCATATCCTTAACGGAGTGACATATGTTGCTGATCAAATCATCAACTCCGTTTGGTGGATCATCAGTGTGTTTAACCACGTCCCTTCTTCCATCGTGGCTTATCCAATGGCAAAGGCATGTCATCAACGTCGTTCAATGGCTTATCATCAGTGTGTTTAACACCACGCCATGTCTTCCATCGTAGCCTATCCAACGGGAACGGGATCTGTATGTTACGTAACATATTTGATACGATGTCCTGAGATGGTAACAAGTGTATATCGAATGTTAGTGTTGCGACCGGGTCTCGAATCGAACTAGTGGTGCCAGTGACATGGTAGCTTTGGAAAACCTCCCAAGAAAATGAGACTTGAGGAAACTTTGAAAGCAAGTGATCATCTGGGTGGCCTGAGTTGTCTACCGTCACAACTATGTTGTAGTCGTCGCCGTGGTCGTGGTTGGGATTGAATGACTGCATGGTACGTTTTATTTGAATTAGGTGAAGCTGCGGCTTGTGGCCTTTATTATTGTATTTATAGTGATATATAGCTGAGTGAAGTCTCACTCCTACTAGGGTTAGAAATTAGTTTTCTTTTAGGAAATTGAGTGTCGGCGATTTCTTATTTGCCTTGATTAATAAAAACCTAAGACAAGTACGTTTTAGAATTAGTTTAATTTTAGGGTTTCTTTATATTTCTGGTTTCCAAATCCCTTTAGGAAATTGGGTGTGCCAATTTGGGGCAGTAAACAGTGAAATCGGTGGGAAATATTAATTAGAAGGTGACAATCCAAAATTATCGTATGAATCTGGTGTCAACTATGCAGAAGTTAATGGAGAAACATTGAAGTAAAAGTCGAGAGAGAAGGAAGATGAATAACTGTTTCATGTTGAAATTAAGGTTGCAGCCGATGTTGAAAATATCGGTATCAGTAGAAAGATCGATATGCAAATTTGTGAAAATATCGACGGATATATTAAATATCTATATCGGTTGCTTTATGTAAATGATGGAAATTTAAAATGAAACTTTAAGGAGTATCAAACATTATATTGGACGAAATATAAGAGTTTTTTCGATATTTAAAAAATGTAATAGAAATATTGATGATATATGTCGATTTTAGACTAAACTTAAGGACTTACACAATATGAAATGAAGTTTAGACTTCCCCCCGCCTCCATATTTTTTTTTTTTACTTTTTGGATATTTCCATGAAAATATTGGCCACGTCGAAGAAATTTTAAATGCTAGTTGCAGCCATGCGATTTTTCATGGACTGTGTACAGGCTTCATTTCAGAGTTGCAGCCGTGCGTTTTTGTTTTGTAATGTGTGTGAAATTTTCCCTCCCATAATCCTAATTCATAGTAAGGAGAAAGAAAAAGAATTCAAATACTTAAATTTTAACTGCGACAACAACAATGCCAAACCAACAATTGAATGGTTGCTGTTCTGACTTCTGAGATATCTTTACGCACGAATTCCTCAAATATTGTTGTTGCTTCTCCTTCAATTCTTCAATCGTTTTTATCAAGTTCTTGTCGTCGTTCATCAACCTTCTGTCGTCGTTCACTAACCTCTTGTCGTTTGAGTCATAAGATTTTGCTTTATCCCCTTCAGTTGGTCCTGTAGATACATCTTTTCCATCTCGACGAAGTCCTCAATCTTAGATTCTGTAATCGTCTCAGTTCGTTTATTGTCTGTCAATGAGCCTCCATTTGTGTCTACAAATCCTAACAAGAACACATTTTTTTTAACAAAAGCGGATACCGCTTCTTAATCCTTTGTGTTTGCATCGACAACCACCTTTCGGAGTTTCTTACTTGAGCTCTTCAAGAGAGAGATGAATCTTGAAAGGAGGTTCGCACGGTGGAGTCTCGTAGATACAGAAAATGCAACAGAGTCCACCCAGTCTGTGATAAAGAAGCTGTGTACCGTCTATGTATCATATCAAATGGGCACATCCTGATTGCATAAACAAGGCCAAATTGGTCCAAGGACGTGCCTTGTAGATGTACAAGAGCATCTGGAAAAGTCATATTCGCTTCATATCGGCTAAACTCATCGATTTAGCCTTAGTAAACTCATATATAAGCTCGTCAGTGTCTTACTCTTACTTCTACGATTAGGATAAACGAATTAGTTTCCTTTTAGGGACTAGGATTTCTAATTTGCCGTAGGAAGTGGATGACTAATTTTCGGTTTCAACAAGCTAAATGTCCTAATGTTCGGGCTCCGCTAAGGATGCTAACTGGAGCTGAAGTTAATTTCTCTCAATTACAAAGATGAAACTGAAGTTTACAAACAATGAAAAAGATATGTACGCCAGAGTATATTTGTTGAAAAATGATGCCCAATGGAACCAAATTTGAACTGCCACAATATAGCTTCCCGCTAGACATTTTCCGAAATGTTCTTAAGCAAACTGTTATAAAGTAAAATTCAAAGTTTAATGGCACTCTTAAAATCCGATATACCTGTGCCGGTCATCAGTTTGTCGGAAATCTGAATCTACAAACAGGGCAGGTGTGACCCGAGTTGAGCCACTGTATGATACAGTCTCCGTGAAAAATATGAGAGCACGGCAAGCAAGTGACTTGATCCCCACTCAACATCTTTTCCAAGCAAACCACGCACAGCTGATCACAACTCGAACCATCAAACACAAACTTGTTCAAGGCCTCGACCGATGCTTTGGTTGCAGGCATTGGCCTGAACACAGCCTGATCTAATGACTCTCTCACAACCGCTTCTGTCAACAACCTATCATCGCTATCCCTTGTATTTTGCCGCAACAAGGCCAAGACTAGGCGCATTTTCGCACAGGTTCTTATCACACTATCCCGAAGTCCCAATAGGGTTTCTATAGCACCCTCCAATCCATGCATATCGTCAGCAGAAAGCATAACACTAATGTGATTAAGCCGTGATACCGCGGATCCCCACTCTTCACGCAGTTGCCTGGCCCAACCCTCTTGTGGAAGTTGAAGTCCATCGTCGTAAATCGCAAGCAATGCACGATTGTCCTGATGGTTGCCCAGTATTTCTGATTCCAACTCATCCCGCAGTTCCCTGGCCTGAACTTCCAACATCTGCATTTCATCAAACACTTGGTGTGCAACCATTTTAATCTCCTTCTCTATTGTAACAATTATGCCCAGCTTCCCATCACTCACCATGGCATTGACCCCATTAACTATTTTGCTTATCATGGCTTCCACGCTCTCTAATGGCTCGGTGCTCCCGCCAAAACTCTGCGTTTTCCACCGGAGACGATCTAACGGGAAGGGGATTTGCATGGCGGCGATCATGTTGGATACAGCATCTCGTGGACAGGATGTGAAGGAGTGAAAAGGGTGATCAAGTCGGAGCCTTGCATTGTAGGCTCTGATCGGCCCGGTGATATCCGAATCGACATTGTAGCTTATGACCACGTTGAAAAGAATCGTGATCCGAGGAAGCGGAAGCGGAGTCGGAGGCGACTCGTCAAGTGGGATAACTGTATTCTCTACCGTGACAAAAACTTCATAGTCACCGTCGTTGTTGGAATTGAAAGCTTGCATATCTGTCGCTCTCAGAGATTTTGCAGGTTCTCCGTTTTCGCGATGTATACGGAATATTTAGCTGGGGAGGAAATGGTTGCAATGATTGCGTAACTTTAATTTAATTTTCTCAATTAAAAATTCGTTATCTTTCATCCTTTTAACTCATCAAAATGTGCAATGGTCCCTTAACTAAAAATCCATTAACATTAGTTCCTCAACTCTAATCCAAATGAAGAAATGGTCCCTTAACTTTAACCTAATTGGAGCAATAATTCCTCAACTTTAACCCAATTATAGCAATGGTCATTCTAACATAACCTATTTTGACTAAATTCTGACCAAGTTGACGAAAATGACCATAGCTATATATTTTGATGAGTTGAGGGACCAATGGTAATAGATTTTTAGTTGAAGGACCATTGCTCAAATTTGATTAAAGTTGAGGGACCATTGTTACAGTTTACTCTTAAGCTAAATTCTATAACTCAATGGTGAGTTATGTACTCACTTTTTGATTCACAAGAGACCATTTATTATAGTGGTGGAGAAGAGTTAAGTTCTTTTATACAGCATGACTCGAATTTTGTCGATGTTTAAACAAACATCTTTTTTTTTCTTTTTCCTTTTTTTCTTTTTTTTTTTGTTGTGAAAAGAACCTTTATTTGTTTCTAAAATTCAAGAAAAATTAAATAACATGTCCATTATTTTTTAAAACGATAAAATAAATGTTAAAATATTATTGGACAAAACCAAAAGTTGAATACACTCCAAATATTATCCCTTATTGTTAAGCATCACTTACTTACCATCTTATTTTGTTAGAAATTGGGCGGAATGATCATCTTTTTTCAAATCTTAGTTTCTGAAATAAACGGGTTTTTAGTATATTTTAGGAATTTGATTGCTATGTCAATACAATTTTCTCTTTATCGTTAGTATCTTAGTTATATATCGTTAATGTTTGATGAACATGCAGTTGATTATTTGATTTTGATCTGTTCAACTATTAGAGTTTGATTTTTGACCATTTCATAATAGATTCTCATGTTGACTTTGGCTTAACCACATCTATACCCTTTACACTTGAGTGACACCCACAGTTGATGCATGCCTCACTCAACACTTAAACTCCCACCGTACAATGGTGGTATTACCTCCCCCCTTCTCTAAGTTGGATCCTTCAGTTTCTGCCGGTCTATTTAGTGCAAGTAGTGAAGTTTAACCACCCAGCTTAATGTGACAAGCAACGGAAACTGCATGCCTGCATACTAACTTTAATTTGAAGGGATAGGATCGGTTACCTTCCAGTTGCAATTAGTGGAATTAGACATCACTTTCGTTCCAAAGACGTATGAAAAAAATCTTTAGATCCTATGTTACCAAGTCGAAACTAAATTTACTTCACCATTCAAGTAAGAACTGTACCGTTTAACTTCTTCCCTTTCGGTGAGGTTTCAATCACCGCCTTGACTATTTTTGCACAACTCTTGGTGAAAACAGGACCAATACAAACCCAAAAACCTATCGTCGATTACCTGCTTGACAAAACAACTGAGTCTGTTACAAGGTACGGTTGTCTTTGAGATCAGTTACATTGCTTGGTCCACAAGTAACGTTTAACACATCTTAACCTAGTAACAAACTAGGATGGGAGCATAATGCATATCTCTGCAGTTCTTGCTGCTCAGGGCTTCATAAAAGTCGAACAGGACACTTACGGAAAGATATTTACATCAAAACATCGAAAATGTGAAAGAGGTGAGATCACCTAACCTAAACTTGTATGTCCGCAATCACACCTGTGTTATGAGTTATGTTAATGTATCAAAATGTCTTCTGATGCAGCTTATTTTATCTAACAGAACAGAGATGTAAGAGCTTGTGCTTAACGTCAAGGGAGTAACAGATGAAATGTTTGCTGAGAATTGAGTTTGAGGCAGTGGATAAACTCAGCACTCGCTGATAGGTTTCCCGAAGAGGCGGATACTGGCTTATTGATTGTAGAAGAGGGAAGAAACATGAATGTCACAAACGAAAAAGAAAAAGAAAGAAGAAGAAAATTTCAATGAAAAATAAGAAGAGAGAATAGTATAACTAAGTTGATCCCTATAGATACAACACAAACTTTATCAAGTAAAATCTTCAATAACCTTTGGAATCAACATAAAATCAACCTTAAAGGTCCAATATCCTAGTGGACGTGTGGTCCAATATTCGAGTGGATAAGATGTTGAGTTCTAACAATATTCTAGTGGTACCTACAACGCTGATTTATTTGGTACATTTGATTGACTAAACAGCTTTCAATTCGAATGATTTTTTGTAGAGATTATCTTCAAGAAAAAAATTGAAATTTCCAAGCTAATTCAATCTAATTATTTGAATTATACAGTAATTGATCTGTCTCCCAGTAATCGTATCCATACATTTATTTGTAAAATCATCATCAGTTTGAGTTTGCTTCTGCTGGCAACTTGAACCTACACACCGGGCACGTATGACACTGGTTTAACCATTCCACAATGCAGTCTCCGTGAAACATATGAGAGCACGGCAACCGAGTGACTTGCTCTCCACTCAACATCTTTTCCAAGCAAACCACACAGTATTGATTGCTGCTCGAACCATCTGCTCGTTCATCAAATACCAACTTCTCCAAGGCCTCGACCGCTGCTTGCTTGCAGGCCTTGGCATCAACGCTACAGCTTCATTTAATGACTCGATCCTAGCCGCTTCTAACACAATATCAACAGCCCTCCTATTCCGTTTTCAACCCCAGCGCAGCTTAAGTAGTATTGCTTAATATTTCAACCCCAACGCTCGATAGGCGAAGTTGAAACGAATCCAGTCTTTGAATATCAGCAGAAAGCACGTCATTATTCCTTTGTCTTACAGTTAGTGAATCCCACTCTTCCCTCAGCCTTGTGGCCCTTTCGTCCAGTGGCAAAAGATCATGAAAAGAAAGCTTGTTCCAGTCAAGTCAGTTCTCTGCTTCGATCTATTGCTTCCGCAGCTTGATCCTGATTCGCTTGATATGGATCAAAACCAAATTCTTGTGTTCTTTCGAGGGTAACGTCTGGCGTGACGCCTCAAGTATTTAAACCGTCGCTTCTTGTCAAATTCCAAAAAAGTGAGCCATAAGGAGCCTCAAGCGATTGATAATCGGGGCAATCCCTTTCTTCTGCTATGATATGTATAGCATAGTTACTAAGGTCCTGCATCTTAACTATAACAAATAAAGTTTGTTGTGTATATGGCAGCCGAGGTGCTGTTAGCTATATATATGAATAGGTGACATTTTTCAATATGAATAGGTATAGGGTTTGATCCAATTCCTACTAGGAATAGGAATTCCTTTTTACTATATGAATAGGTTTGTTTATAGTACATTGAAACTTATTACTAAGAAATACATGAAAGGCCACCTTATTGGCTTCTAAAACTAAATTTCAATTTGAGTTTGAAATCTTAAGAATTAAGTGATATTTAATTGACAAATCTAATTTGAAATACTTTAAGAATTAAGGTATATCTGGTAGTTTTTTTTTTTTTTTTTTATGCAACGTTATATTTATACTAGGGATATGAGAATAACTTAGTATTAAACTCATCGCCTATGAAATATCAAACTCATCGTAAGGTTAGTGTTTGTACTAGTAGGTGGTGACGGTCACTTTGCTCTCTAAGCGGTAAAGTGAGTATATAAGATTAAACAATGTCAATTTTTTTAAATTTGAGGATATTAAAGGAATTGAAAATATTCATTAAAAACTCAATTTCGCTTTTTATTAAAGTAACTTTTAAAAACAACCCACATACTGTTTGTAACGACCCGTTCCCAAATATTACGGTTTTTATAATTTTAATGCGTGAATTTATGAAAATGCCCTCCAAGGCAAAAATGTTGACTTTTATTGACTGCATTGTCGTGTCATGTAAGATTCATTCCCTTGGCGTAGCCTCGTAATACTCATCGTTACGAATGTGTGGGCGCAAGCGGAAGTGAATTTGGAGCTAAAACAAAAACTTTACGGGACTCAGAACAATAAGGGTATTTTGGTAATTTTACAATTAGAGATATTTCCATCATGGACCATAAGGATGGCGACATGTGGCAGATTTCTCCCCATTTTTTGGGGTGTTCCTTTTGCCGTGACTTCTCTTTAGAATTCTCTCTCACTAGAACTTTCTCTCTCTCTCTCTCTCTTTCCCTCTCTTCCTCCTTGTCTTCCCCTGGGAAACACTCTCCCTCACCTCTCTTCTTTACAACCCTCTTCCTCTCCATTCCCGAGCAACACACATACACAGATACAAACATACAACAGCAACAACGACCCCACCACCATCATTTTCTCCCTCTCCACGAGCATGGATGCCACACCACCACCAACATTCGTTGTTCCGACGAGCACACCACCATGAACTAAGACCTGCCACAACCACTAAATTAGGATCAACACCTTAGAGCTAAAGCTTGACATTGTGCAGGAGCTTATGATATTGTTCATCACCTTTTTCAAAGGATTCTTCGTCAAGTTTCTTGCATTTCCGATTAGGGGTAAACCTCCGGAAATCCTAAAAAACCTTTCATTTTATTCCTATGGTTCGATACTGATCTTGTGTACATGTCTTGAACGAACGAAATAGCACAAAAATACATCGAGGGAACTTCCCCAGTTTTTCGGCAAGTTCGATTCCTTATCTCCCGAGCTTCAATTTGATATATTGGGTTGCAAGGTTTGGTTTAGTTTTGAGCTTGATCGGAGCTTGAGAGTTTCCTGGCCAAAATCCCAAAATCCGGCTTTCTCCTTCATTGGGTTCGACGACCCACGAGCCAATCGAGTCAAACCTGACCTGCAACCCAAACCAGCCTAACCCAGCTACTAATCCAGGCCCAAACCCAATCCAAAACCCGGCCCAAACCTTTGGGCCATGTAATCGGCCCAACCCATTAACCCTTGCCTATTAACCAGTAACCCAGGCCTAACCCATTTACCCTAGCCCATATCCGACCCGACCCGAGCCGGACCTAGGTTCCATGGTCGACGTGTGGACACGCATAGAGGTTTGCCATAGTCACCGCATGAAGCACATGCACCTCCGCTAGAGGTACT